AGGAGGAGGAGGAGGAGGAGGAGGAGGAGGAGGAGGAGAAGAACAACAACAACAAAGAAGAAGAAGAAGGAGAAGAGGAGGGAGGAGGATAAGGAGGAAGAGGAGCAGAAGAAGTGAGCAAGAAGAACAAGAAAAGCAAGAGCCAAAACAAGAACGAGAGCGAGAGGAAGAAGAAAAGCAACACGTGGGCATTCCTTTTTCCGCCCTAGATTTGAACCTGGGTCCAAGACAACAGCGCATGAACATGCCCCGTACTTGGGGTGTAATTCGCCAAAGTCAATCACTGCTTATTGCGCTATCTTTTGTGATCCAATAACAAATCACAAGACACGGCTAATTGCACGTAGATAGAAGCGAAAACGGAACAAACAGTATAAATTCTGTGTCGACTTTAGACCACATTCGTCCTTGTGGGTGATAATTCGGTCCCGCTATCTCGCTCGCTGAAGTGAAACCATTGATAACACAGATGAACTCGGACTGCTTACTCGCCCACTATCGCCGCTCATACCTACACACAGTCGTACTCTTTTGGGCTTTTTTTTTCTTGGTCTTTTGTTTTCCCCGTTTTCGGTTTGCTGGTGAAACTGGCAGAACTGAAGTGATTCCAGTCTTTGGGTTTCACAATTGGATTATTGTGCGTGTGTGTATACAAGCCGAGATATGGGATAACTCTTGACCGGCTTTATGTCAACAACTGTCCCGATCTTGCGTTGAGTGAGACAAGGGGGCGGCGGGCAGGAGGCGTTGAGCTTGCTGAAACGCCCCCTTCTTCTGCGGGAGAAGCGATACAACGCCGTGTTATTTCGAGGTAAGTAAGTCTTTTTTGAGTGAATTAAATGTTTATATGAAAATCAGACACTGTCGGGATTTTTGTTATTCGAAGTGTGCAGTTTTCGGTGATACGTTGATTATTCAGGACTGAGAATAGAAAAAAAAACCACACTCAGGGAAATGGACTGTAAAGAACAGATCTCTAGACTGAACAAGCTTTTGATCTATCCAAACGTGGCTGTGGATATTGTTTTTCACACAAACTTACCTTCCTACTAACCTGCTAACCTACCTACCTACATATCTACACACATACACACATGAACTTATACAAAAGTATACACATGCCTACTTGCACACACACACACACACACACACACAC